AGTGTTACTTTGGGATTTACTGATCAAAGCATGGTACAGTGTAGTGTGTTTTAAGCTTTATTAAACCAAAGAGTGTATATTGGCAGCTAAATATAAACTAAATGTTTTTAATGTTTTTAAGTTGTTTTGTCGGTGTTGTAAACAACAAAGAATTATTTTAGTTCTCTGAAACAATAGTGGGACTTTGGAAAGTACAAGTCAAGCAGTTTTGTATACATTATACTCAAAATGTCACTAAAGAGACTTATTTAGTCATGAATGCCTAGGACGCCAATATTTGAAAACTTCAAGAGTTAGCTGAATCAAGTGGTGTTCAAAGTTATTATGATCTTTTAGTCAACGAGAAAACACTGTTGGCTAAATTTGCTGGATTTTAAAACACAAGGAGCTCTGGTCAGATCACAGTTTTAAAATATAAACCAGATGGATGCTCCTTCCACGCTTGTTATAATAAATTAGAAAAGAAAAATGGCCAGAGCAAAACTATGCATGCTTAACACTCAGATTCAGGAAGATTGTTGACCGACCCAGCTGAAAATCATAAGACAGCTGTAATTTTTTATAAAATTTGGAGCAGGATATGAGGTTGAAAGTGACTTTTTCAACAGTTTGCCTCAGGTTTTAGAGGAGGCAAATTGGTTGGCAGAGGTGATGAGTTCTGTCATCAATCCTGACCATACATACTGTTTGCACCGCAGATTGATATTCAACAATATTTTACTTGTGAGTGACATGTTTAAGGTCTGTAAGGTTCTTAATTTAGATTGTGGTTTAAGCTCAGTGGATCAGGAGAAATATTTTGATCAGTTGGAACATCAATATTTTTTGGACAGTTCTGAAATCTTTTGCTTTTTCCCAGAAGTTTATTGATTAAGTTCTTTATAGTGGTGTTGAGAGTATTTATAAAATTAATAGTCGTTTGTGTCCCCCTTTTAAAGTTTTTAGAGGTGTTAGGCACAGATGTTCAATGTCTACAGAAGGAATGTCTGCTTCTATTCTTTGGGAAACCCTCAACGTTTATTTTGTGTGGAGAATTAATTACTCGTTCTGCTTATATATAAAAAATGTGCAGCAAAAAGCTGAACAATCTTTCTGGACAGATTGGCAAAATAGATAAAAAAAAATATGCAGAGTGTCCAATTCCATCCCTATATAATGAAAAGGCTCTTTTACAATCTGAATATTATCTTCTTTCCTCTAACTAAGCAGAGCAGCTCTTACTTAACTCACGACATCATTTTTATGAATTTGGTAATAAACCAGACAAAGCTCTTGCACAGCAACTTAGGCTTCAAACTGTAAAAAGCTTTATTACTCAAATTCAAGCCACAGTTAGAAATATTGTGTCATGTCCTCAAGACAATAATAACCAGTTTAAATTATTTTATTCTTCTTTGTACCAGTCTCATTCTCTTAAAGACACAAATCTTATTAAAAAAATATTTTTTAAAATCTTGATATGCCTCAAATTAGCAACAAATCCAAAACCAAATTAGATAATCCTATTAGTTTAGCTGAAATTTTACATGCAATTTCAGAGATGCAGAGTGGAAAATCTTCAGACCCAGATAGGTTTCCAACCAAGTTTTAAAAAAAGTTTTCTCTTCAGCTTTTTCCATTACTACTTTCAGTTTTTTAAGAATCATTTAATAATGGTAGTTTACCCTTATCCATGCGTCAAGCATTAATTTCATTGATCTTGAAACCTAATAAAAACCCACTTGACTGTGAGTCTTATCGTCCAATATCCCTCCTTAATGTTAACATGAAAATTTTGGCCAAGGTCCTTTCTATAAGACTAGAAACTATTGTGCAAAACATCATACATCCTTTTTATAAAACAGGTTTTATAAAAAACAGGCAAGGTTACTTCAATCTTAGAAGATTGCTGAACATTATTTTTACGTCGACAGACTCCGGAGGTCTTAGTCCCTCTCGATGCAGAAAAGGCTTTTGACATCAAGTTGGACTATCTCTTTTTTTCACATTGAAAAAGTTTGGGTTTGGAGATAAATTTGTGGGTTGAGTAAAACTCTCATATTCTTCCCCTTTGGCATCTGTGAATACAAAATGGTATAAATTCTAAATATTTTTCAATTTATCGTGGGACCAGACAGGGTTGACCCCTGTCCCCACTTTTATTTGCCATAGCTATAGAACCCCTTGCAAAAGCTTTTTGTTCCAACCACAGCATAACTGATATTTTTAGATTAAATAAATAGAAAAAAATATCTGTTGTGCATGGATTACAAAAATGTAGCAAAATGGTTTAGCCACCTAATGATATTCACAGGATTGAGATTTCATCATTTAGCTAAACAGTTCTTAGAGGTAATAAGCTCTTTTTTTGCCTGGGCATTATAGAGCACTTTTACAAAAAATAAGATTTGAGTGAAGAAGTCAAAACTCTGGTGTCTTCAAATTGTGAATTTCGTGTGTTCGAGGACCAATCAGTGGAAGAGGCTAAAACATAGACGTTGATGACATTTAAAAAAAGGTTTTATACATCTCATGTGATAAAATGTTTATTAGGAGACACTAAAAGGATGGCTGATGTTGATGTGGACTAAAATGCTTAAATCTAATTTCCCCTTGAGAGATCAGTGAAGGTCCTTGTATATGTCTTCACCTGAGAAAAGAACTGGGGATTTGCAGAGGAGACTATAGGGGCGATAGCTACTACCAGACATGTGTCTCACCTTACTCCAGCAGTAAGGGAGAATGTTTTTTGTGGTAAAGAAGAGAAATTTTTTTTAAGTTGTATTTGACTGCAATATAGACATTATATATATTATATATATAATCAAGTGTTGGTGAAATAGACCCAGTGGTAATGTTGAAAGGTTTACAGTTTTTTTGGATTGCTTAAGCACGATTTTCAAAACAGGGCCAGTGTTTTCAAAACAGTACACACAATTAGCACAACCACACACCCAATTAGCAAAACCCTAAAGATCCTTTGCATAATGAAACACTCTTGTAAAAACTATACAATTCTGTTTAAAAACCACACTTTTTTACCATAAGAAACACACATTTTCATATTTGCTATACACTGTTTGCACGAGTTACACACTGCTGTGATAAATCTACAACACTTTTAGCACTTCTGCTTTCCTATGATTGGAGTAAGCTACCATCAACAAAGTACAAATATAAAGTAAATTCACCAAACACTACTCAAGAACAATGCTGCACACTGAAGAAACTCATTTATTCCTCAACATGTCCAACATGTTGGCATGAAGATACAAAGTACTGTAACATGTCACTTTACGCATTGAACTTTAAGATAGATCTGGCATGAGAATTATCAATTGCAATGTTGACCTTAGCAAGACACCTTGGAAAGAAGTGTCTTGAATGTAGAATCTTGTTTTGCTGCTGCCTCCATCTGGTCACAGGCCTCCTCCATGGCTTGGATGAGGGGTACCTCAGCTTGGAGATGAAGATCATATACTTTCCACCACCATGCTGAGAAAAAACTCTTCAATAAGGATGAGGAATGGAGAGTATGGTGGAAGATACAGGACGGTAAAATGTGGATGTTGCTATAACCAGTTCTGAACCAGAGCAGAACGGTGGAAAGACACATTGTCCCAGACAACAATGTATTGCGTATGATCGATTTGATTTGCTGCTGTTATGTTGTGCAATTGGTCCAAGAATGTAAGTATATGTGCTGTGTTGTAAGGGCCCATATGGGCATGGCAGTGGAGGACCCCATATTTTGAAATGGCTGCACAGAGTGTTACTGTATATTTCCCCCACGTTGCCCTGGGACATTGACTATAGCCCTGTGGCCAATGATGTTTCTTCTACTCCGTGTTCACGTCAGGTTGAACACACCATCATCTACGTAAGCAAACTCATGCTATATCTCCTCTCCATCTATTCGTAAAACTACCTGAAGAACAGTGTCAGGCAAAATTGTGTAGTTCAGTGTAGATCTAGTATTACAGTACAGTAAAAGATTATGAGACAGTATGCAAGATCACACTGCTAAAGTGAATACATACCTCTGCATAATCATGCCACAATCTTTTCACCCTTTCGAAATTGTGCTCGAAAGGCACTCCATAAATTTGCTTCATTTGAATATATATATATATATATATTTTTTTTTTTTTTTATGGTGTGTGCCAGTGTTCATATTGAGACCTGATGATTTTCATTGAAACTGGCATTTTATAGTGCTTAAACACCTGAATGTTGTGTCTACAATAAATCAAACTAGTGTTTGCACACCTGATGACTGTGTTGAACAAGTTGATTGGACGGTGCAGTAATTTGACAGTCAGTGCTTTGGTATTGCAAGGAAGTGACTTCATGATAGATTTTAGTGTGTGATGTATGCTAAGTGTGTTTAGTGTTTTGCAAATCACTGTGTGTAGAGTTTTGCAACAAGTGTTAAGTTGACAATGTGCTTATAGTTGTGCAAATATGGGCTGATGTTTTAATACTTGTGTGTAAGGTTTTGCTAATAGTGTACTACTTTTAATTTTAGTGTGTAAGCAATCCTAAAAAAACTAATTGCAAGTAGATTGAAAATTGAATTTACCTTCTATCAATTGGTACAAGATTTATTCAAATCAATTCAAATCAATAATTGCTTTACTGGCATGACAATGTTACAAATGTATTGCCAAGACATTCATAAAGTTCACATTAAAAAAATCTGTGTGTGTGTGTGTGTGTGTGTGTGTGTGTGTGTGTGTGTGTGTGTGTGTGTGTGTGTGTGTGTGTTAATGTAGTAAGAAAATAATGTGTCAATAAATTTCATTGTCATAGTTTGTATAATATTGATTCTTACTGTACTTCAATTTTCTATTTTAACTCATTGTTTGTTTCCACAGTAATTTGTTTCCTAATTATGTTGCACAATCTTACAAATAAAATTGAAATACCAAAATCAGTCACACTAAGTATTTAGCATAAGCAAAGTTCTGAATTTAGATGTGTGCATGTTTTGACTACTTTTTGCAATTTTCTTTTTCCAGGGACCTGAGGGCCCACCAGGACAGAAGGTACAATTGCATGTTTTGTTTTGCACATCATGATACAAAATAATAATAATAAAAAGGATGTTTAATCTGTAGTAATACATCATCTGTAGTAATACATTTTGATTTACTTTTGAATTTAAGATGAAGTTAATACAGCATTAGCAATAGCACAATTCTTTCAAAAACAACAGCAATAATAATAACTGATTATACATTGGAATGGTAGTGCATGTTTTATGTAGTGTACTTAGATCACTAGCAGATACATTGATACACTGCTTCAGTATCCATAAATGGATCCAACCATACATTCAACTTTCACTTGAGTCCATTTCTGAAGAAATAGAAACAGTATTAACTGATTTTATTTAAACTAAAAAATAATTCTAGTTTCATTTTTTTAAAGTTTTTATTTCATCCTGTGCACATTGAATGTGGTTAACTGAGAATCCAAAGTGTGTCCTTAACATCCAATAACCAATGATGGGTGTTTTTACACAGCATTGTTTCAGCTTATTATACAGCAAATGATTTACCTAAGAAGAGTAAAGAAATCAAACTTTAGTAAAATAATGCTCCTGAGATGAGGTAACGAGCATTTTATGATTTTCTTGAATACAGGGGTGTATTCCAGAATTCAAGGTTAACTTACCATCTGCTAAACCCTGAACTTCTAGTTGATTAACCCAAAACCTGCTTACTGTATGTCAGTTCCAAAACCTTTGAGACAATATCAACCTCAATCAACCTTCTAAAAGTAACTGAGAATGGATATGTTTACACGGTGCATAACTACAGGCATTTTCAATGGATGATCGAGTTTACAAGTCACAATGGAAAGTCAAAGTGAGAAAAAAGGGCAGCATACTTTACAGAAAAGGTTTAAATTCTGATGTTTGAAGTATTAAAACCAAATGAAAAATGCAATACAGCTGCATCAAAAAAAAAAAAAAAAAAAAAGAAATATAAGATAAATGGTTAAGAAAAGGGAAAAAAAAGTAATTGCATGAGACAATTAATTTATACAATTGCAACTTACTATACTAAACCTAACAATAACATCTTTTTGTTACGGCCACACAAGGAAGACAATGGGGGTCAAGACTTTTAAGTATTTATTCAAGTAAAACAGCTACAATTGATTGTGAAGCAGGTAAGTAATGAAAAAAAGTTCTGTATGAGAGGTCCAGTTTGGTGATAACACCCCACTCACTTTAAAGACTCTTCCCTTTAGCAGGCAGTTTGTATTCACAGAAGAAGAGGGACATCCACGGAAAAGCACAGGATATAACAGGGATCACAGGAGAGGCGATGAGGAAGACATTCTGACGTTGATTCCAGCAGGTGAGTGACTGGAGAAGGTAAGATAATTGGGTGCATAATTGAGGTACCAGGTGTGAGCTGTAAGTATTCGAGTGTAGGTTCACATGAGTGGTGTGTGGTGGTTGGTGATTGGCTGAGGTGGTTGGGACTGCGAGAATGAGCTGAGGGTGTGACATTACCCCCCCTCCACGGGTGACTCCAGGCACCCTAGAACAGTGGCGGGGACAACCTCAAGGTTGGGTAGCAGGACAGTCAGGGTATCGGCGGTGAAAAACTTCAAAGAGGTTAGGATCCAAGATGACGTTGCAGGGAGCCCACGACCTCTATTCCTAGTCGATAAGGTACTGGAGTTGACATTCCTGCAGCTGTGAGTCAAGAACTTCTTTAACCGAATAGTTGTTGTCGCCAAGGACTTTGGCTGGTTCTGGAGGGGGAGACGGTTCCAGTTCTGTGGATGGAGGAGAAATGGGGCCAGAATAAGGTTCAAGGAGGGAAACGTGAAAGGTAGGTGAAATCCGATAGTGTGAGGGTAAGTTAAGAAGGTAGGTGACAGGGTTAACTTGTGACTGGATGGTGAATGGTTATATGTAGCGGGGACTCAGATTACGGCAGGGCAGACGTAGGCGAATGTCATGGTTGGAAAGCCAAACCTTGTCTCCAGGATTGTATGTGGGTAACCTGTGGTGATTGGCGGCACTGATGTACCTCTGTACCGCCTGCTGGAGATGTGCTGAGTCTCACACCCTCTTGCTTTCTTGGAACTAGTGGTCTACCGCGGGCACCTCAGAGGTCAGAGGAAACACAGATGGTTGGTAACCTAAAACATATTTCAAAGGCATTAGACCTGTAGAGTTTTGATGAAGGGAATTGTGAGCATTTTCAGCCCACGGTAGGTACTAGCTCCAGGCTTCTTGGGGGTGTGCACAGTTAGTACGGAAGTAGCAGGAATCTTCTGCATTTTACGCTCAGTCTGTCCATTTGTCGAAAGATGATAACCCGATGAGAGACTGATGGTAATACCTAGAAGTTGGAAGAACGCCTGCCAGACCCTGGAAATAATTTTTTTGTCCTCGGATACAGTGTCCTCGGGTAGTCTGCAATTACGAAAGATATGGTTGAATGGAACTTCGGCTGTTTCTATGACCGTGGGAAGAACTTTGAGGGGGATTAATTTACAGGCTTTAGAGAATTAATCCACTACCACAGGAATGGTGGTATAGCCCTGTGATGGTGGTAGATCAGTGCCAAAGTCCACACCCAGATGAATCCAGGGTTGGCGGGTATAGGTAACGGTTGCATTTTCTCTTCAGGTAGGTGACAAGGAGTGGTGGTGATGGCACAGACAAAGCAACCCTGAACATACGGGGTAATGTCCTTCTTCATGGCAGGCCACTAATATTTCTGCCTGAGGAGCGAGAGGGTTCACCTGCTGCAAGTGTGCGTACTATCCAGGGGCTGGAGACGATGCCTGGTAGGCATATAGATAAGACAATGAGGGAGTTCAGGGGGTGCTGGCTCACGTACAGTGGAGGTACAGATTTGTACATCTAAGTCCCATAGTATAGGTGCTAGGAAGATGGAGGGAGGTAGAGTTGATTCAGGGGTGTCAACAGTAGGATCTGGTAAGTATTTATAGGAGAGACCATCAGCCTTTACGTTCTTATGGCAGGATTGGTAGGTGATTTGGAAATTGAAGTGAGTAAAGAATAGTAACCACTAAGGGTGTCAAAATTAATTGTTTCTTTGGTGCACCGCGATGCAGACGCGGACAATTCGGTATCGGTTCTTTAATAATCATAACTGATTATTATGTACTGACGTCATTTAACTCTGGGGTTATGTTTCACCGCTGTCTTTCTTTTTTTTCGCTCCACACTACGAGCACTGCTCTGTTTAAGCCCTCGCAATATGTGTTTAGCTGGGATAGCTCGCGCTGGGAGGAGCTCTCAGCAAGGGACCGTCGGAAAAGTGCTTTTTTTTTTGTTTTTTTTTCGTTTTTCTGCTCCTCTAGTAACCAGCCGACTTGACGGCTTTGTGGCATGTTGCATTATGAAGATATTGCCAATTTTGTGATCAGTAACAACTGCAAAGGGAGATTGGGATCCCTCGAGCCAGTGCCGCCATTTATCTAGGGCAAGTTTTATGACTAGGAGTTCTCGATCATCTATACCATAATTCCTTTCCATGGGGGTTAGCTTCCTGGAGTAATACGCACATGAATGAAGGGTTTGGTATTCAGCAGAACATTGTGAGAGGATGGCACCAACTCCGACGTCAGCAGCACCTACTTCAACTATAAATGGTTGTGTGAGATCAGGATGTCTGAGGATGGGAGCCATAGTGAACATTACTTTATGGTGTTCAAAAGGTTATCATGCAGAATTATTCCAGGTAAGTGTACGTTGGCTGCCTTTAAGAAGGGATTCTAGTGGTTCAGAGAGGAGGCTGTAATTCTTTATAAAGCGCCAGCAGAAGTTGGCGAAACCAAAGAAGCATTGCGGCTACTTCACTGTTTTGGGCTCGCTCCAATTGGACATGCCGTCTACTTTACCAGCCTCCATGCTGGTTCATTTACGGTAGATCATGTACCCGAGAAAGGAGATAGTTGACTTATGTAATTCATATTTTTCAGCTTTGAGGTATAGTTGGTTTTCTCTTAACCTATTATACATGGGAATGGTGTTCGGTTATGTCCTGTGAGTAAATCAGGATATCATCACTGTAGACAAGGGTAAATCAATGAAGAAGTCTCTGAATATCTCATTTATGAAACTTGGCATAACCTGATACTCTTAGTGACCTGTAGGGGTTATAAAGGCAGTCTTCCACTCATCCCCTTCTCGAAAGAGATCAGGAGATCTTCTAGGTACCTCTTCTAGGTAGCAGGTACTGAAGGTAGGGGGTATGCGAATTTAACAGTGGCCTCATTTAGTACCCAATGGTCTATGCATGGTCTCAATCCTCCATTCTTTTTTTGCCACAAAGAAGAAATTGGAATCTGCTGGAGAAGTAATAGGTCTGATGAACCCCTGATGATGGGCCTCATTCATGTAGTCTTCTATAGCCACGCGCTCAGGACAGGAAAGAAGGTACATTTTTCCATGCAGTAATTTGGCATCTGGCAGTAGGTCGATACTACAGTCCCAGGACCAATGTGGAGGTAGTTGTGTGGCTCTTTCCTTGCTAAAGACATCAAGGATGGGAGTATAAATGGCCCGGATGGAGACTGTGAGGGAGACGTGAGGGCTTTCTACAGTTGTTGTTTTAATGGAGAGTGGGTCCAGTGCTGGAGTATGAATAGTAGAGGGTGTAGTGTAACCATGTTCCTTGCAGACAGCACCCCATCCGAGGATTTCTCCTGTGTTCCAGTAAATAGAGGGTTGGTGTTGTGCTAGCTAGGGTCTACCCAGGATGATGTCAATATTTGCTTGAGGGAGGACAAGTAACATTAATTTCTCCTGATGGTTGAAAGGGAGTTGGATGACCTCTTCTGTCCGCTGGGTGATTTTGTCGTCGCCTAATGGTGAGTTCTGAAAAGTGGTTATTTGATATTTTATTTGATTACTCACAGAAGATATACGATGCTTGGAGATAAAGTGAAAGGAAATTAAGTTACCAGTCACTCTGTAATCCACCAGCACATGTATGGGGAAAGTGTGAGAGTCCACGATTAATTTAGTTTAAATATTTGGAATCAA